TCGGCTTCTACGCGCCTAGTTACCTCGAACAGCGTCTAACTATCATTTAGTGGAGAAGAAGATCCAGCGTGTTATAGTAGTGTACAGTTCACCACACGGCATAATGGTTCTCTGCATAGTTTTCGGCTGCTCCAAGTGTTCAGGAAGGGATAAGGACGTGTCTTTTTACAGGATACCAAAGGTGATCACTACCAAAGTAAAAGACCTGGAGAAACTGAGTCATAAACAGCGTGCTAGGTTTCTATGAGCGATAAGGAGATCTGACCTAACCGAAAAGACCAACGACAGGATATGCTCTAGACCTCTCGGGGAAACCAGCTTGCCTAATGGAGCCCGGATTGGCTACCAAGTCTGAACCTTGGTCACAGTCAGTGAGTGTAAGGGAAGAACCGCCGAGGAAAGGTGGGAGACAGTGCAAGCACGGGACTCGCAGATTACTGAGTCGTGTGGTATCCTCCGCATCTGCTACCTGGGGACATAGTCCTGGCTTATTGAGGCTTCGACACTGCTGACAGTGTTGGCATTGGCATGATGCAAGAATATCTGAATATTCCAGCCTTTACAAGTGGTAAACATCAGCTTTGTTGTTCACTCTGCAATGTTGTGTGACTCTGTTGTACCGTTCGACTGATCCAAAATATATTATGATTTATTGCAGTGCTGCCAACCACATGTATTCTTCCGTATTTTTACTTGATTATACACTCGGAGAGATAGCTCTACCTCATACCTAGAGACATAAACCTTTGCTCGTGGCTCGTACCGGATCGAGTTCTGCATCGATGCGTGTATGCTCACTAGTTTATACGGTACTTTATACAGATATTTCTTGAGGTTTTTACTGACAGTTGCCTGTACAGGTTGGCAGCTCTAGTATTGTGATGCACAATGACTTGCTGTGTTTTTTTTGTTTGCATCTCTGCAGCAAGGAAGCTAGTACGCCACAATATTGCTTGCTTCAACAGGAGGCAGATTCGACGGAGGAGCAACGCTACTGTCTTCTTTTCAACTTCTGATAATATAACATTCATCGTTGGAGCTAAAGATCTAAAGAACCGTACTAATTACTGCTTCATACATTGAACATTAAGGTTGAAACTAGGACACTTTAATCATCTCTCATTGGCACACACAGAGTCTGTTTCATATCCAATCCATTTAGTTCCATTAGATGAAACCGCATTCATCATTGGAGCTAAAGACCTAAGGAACCGTACTAATTACTGCTTCATACATTGAACATTAAGGTTGAAACTAGGACAGTTTAATCGTCTCTCATTGGCACACACAAAGTCTGTTTCATATCCAATCCATTTAGTTCATTAGATGAAACCGCATTCATCGTTGGAGCTAAAGATCTAAAGAACCGTACTAATTACTGCTTCATACATTGAACATTAAGGTTGAAACTAGGACAGTTTAATCGTCTCTCATTGGCACACACAAAGTCGGTTTCATATCCAAACCATTTAGTTCATTAGATGAAACCGCATTCATCGTTGGAGCTAAAGACCTAAGGAACCGTACTAATTACTGCTTCATACATTGAACATTAAGGTTGAAACTAGGACAGTTTAATCGTCTCTCATCGGCACACACAAAGTCTGTTTCATTTCCAACCCATTTAGTTCCATTAGATGAAACCGCATTCATTATTGACCTAAGGAACCGTACTAATTACTGCTTCATACATTGAACATTAAGTTTGAAACTAGGACAGTTTAATCGGCTCTCATCGGCACACACAAAGTCTGTTTCATATCCAATCCATTTAGTTTCATTAGATGAAACCGCATTCATCATTGGAGCTAAACACCTAAGGAACCGTACTAATTACTGCTTCATACATTGAACATTAAGGTTGAAACTAGGACAGTTTAATCGTCTCTCATTGGCACACAGAAAGTCTGTTTCATATCCAAACCATTTAGTTCATTAGATGAAACCGCATTCATCATTGGAGCTAAAGACCTAAGGAACCGTACTAATTACTGCTTCATACATTGAACATTAAGGTTGACACTTGGACAATTAAAGTTACTTTGTGTGTGCTGATGAGAGACCAGAGTAGGACAGTAGTATTTCGTTTAATCCTTTGGACGCTATGGGTATATATCTCCTTAAAAAAGCAGAAATTGATGTATAACATATCAACGCCTAGTATTACAGCCATATATAAATTCTTATGGACTTATGGAAGCTCCGGGCATATATATATATATATATATATGCCCATGGCTGGCTAAGGGTTTAACTACCTTGCCTGAACATTACTACTCACTGCATAGTTCCCAGGATCATATTACTCACTTGTTACATCACAAGGTATATTGTTTTGGGTTTTAAAGTGCCTTGTGGTTTCCTAGCCTCTCCCCATGCAGAGGTCACTGGTAACCCTTTAGCCACTTGGTTTGGCTGCTTGCCCTCAGATTTGGGGTCTCAGGAAAGAAATGAAGCGGTCGAAGGAGAATTTCTGCGATGGCAAGACCAAAAAGTGTAAATCAGATGAAGGAGAGAGGGTGAGTGATGTAAATGAAAGGGAGGAGTTGAGTGGAGAGGCTCATCACCCTAATCTGGCTCGTGTTAAGACTGATTGAAGTAAGGGGATTGTGTCATTGAACAGGGAGATGGAAAAGAAGCTAGTTCAAATAGAGATGATGGTGATAGTAATGGGAAAGTATGTCTACCATCTCACCAACAGAAAAAAGTATGACAATGCAATATTACACAACCAACTAACAACCCCCACCCTCCCCCCTTTTAGGTTAGAAAGATCAACTCACGCCACTGGTGCCAGATTCAAAAGAAGGTGTTATACACATCTTGAATTTTGTAATTCATTCGAATTTATACAACTAGTGCAAAAACTGGGTGGCTAGGACGTATCCTTACCAACCAACATTCTGTTTTTTATATTGGAGGAGTGTAAAGGGACACCAGGAAATAATTTGGGAAGGTGAATCATTATGCTACGTACATACGTACATATGTAAAAGTATGTATGTAATGAATGCTCCGTATCTGCTACTTCAAAAGGGCCAGAATGCATGCGTAGATTCGCCGAAAATACTGACACAGTAAACCTATTCAAGGAAGCAGCACAAAGTCAAAATTTTGATAATGATGGTGATTGTAAAAGTAAGCTGTCACATGGAAAACGTGAATCTATCATATTATACATGCAGGGAAAGTGCCCAATCGATGTTTGACGTATAATGAAGTCTTACGAGAACATCCATTAGTGTTTTCTTCATCGGACCCACGAGATTTTAGGAATGATGTATTAGCTAAAGTTATTCCAAGAATCCTCAATCCACTTGGTATGTAATATGTACACTACTACTACAGATTATATTACTACTTACTGCTATTTAGAAAAAAGAAACAACTTTTATGACCAGCCAGAGAACTGCCCATCGTGGTTTCCTAAGTCTAGAGTCAGGTTTCGGAGACCAAATCACCCTAAACGTAAGAATGATCCTCCTCAGTAGAAGTACAATTCTTAATTTAGTTAATGTACAGGTGGAGAGAAACGAATGACAGCAGCTGAGATGAGAATTATTTTACAGTGCTTTTTTGACAATTGTACTGACTACTACAACATGTACATAAACCAGTGTTATTATTATAGTCCTTCTCACTTATGTATTACATGTTTCACAGCAGCAGTGAGAGTGGTAGCAGTTAGCAGTTAGCAGTCAGCAGAAACACACATGTATGTAGGTTTTGTGTACAATTAGTGTACAATTACTATTGGAACCAACAGCTGTGACACATGCCAAGACACCAAGCTTGTTTTCTGGGTCAGAGGATGATGAAGAAGCAGAAGGTAGTTTTGACAATTCTCTACCACAATCTAATTGTTTTTGGCATTATGTAGGTCCTGACGAGTGTTCTCCTGTTATCGAGGTTGTACATGTGTGTACGTATGTGTGTTAGTGTTACCATGTGGTCCATGCATGTAAAGGTGATGACAGCAGAAAGTGCGCTGAGATGGTGCTCATCTGCCAGTGGCTGGGATGAGTTTTCAGCACGCACACTAAGAGCAGGCGAGAAGGTTGATCTCCTCTTTTTGTCTGAAGCTGAGCTGAAAGACATTGATGAAGCCAGTGATTTGATAGATTGGCGGTAGGAAACATAAGCTAAATAGCAGTTTTAAAACTTAATTTTTCTTGTGTTACAGGAGAAAGCACACTCTTAGTGATAAGCTACCACAAGAATATGCACCGTGTAGAGCTTCATTAGTAGGCGACTGTCTGTTTTGTTCAGCTAGTATTGGGAGTGAGAGCCACCAAATGGATTTGCGATTTGCTGCAGTTCACCATGCAATTATTCATTATGACCATATCCTTGAAATGGTTAGTATAACACTGCTTTCACTTAAATATTCCACTGATTTTTTGGTGTAAATATTTAGCTCAAAGCAGAAATATGTACAAAAGAAGATGCACAGCAATTTTTGCCCACAACATCTACTGATTTGGAGTATGCTAATCATCCTCATGAGGGCACAACTGAAGACATACTGAAGTACACACTTGTGGCAGAGATCATGGCTACTGCAAAAATTGGTTGCTATTCTGGTACAGAATTTCAGCATATGTATCATTTTGTGTACTTTAAGTTGGTTTATATATTGCATAAAGGGATACTTCAAATGCTCTTTGTTGCCGGAGCTACTAAATTTGCTATTAGGCAGCACACTGAGCTACGTCGGGATGGATATGACACAACCATATTTCCTTGTGGTTGCACAGATGTAAAAGGAATGTTAGATGTCATGTGGGTGACAACTGACCCACAATCATCCACATTAAACCATATTATACCATTACTTACCAAAAGTAAGTTTTACTTTAATTAAAGGTATGCATTTGGTGATGGTTTTGATTCACAGGAGAATCTAATGTTAAAGCCATACCCGAGGAAAGGACAGCTTTTGTACGCGAAAGCATTCAGTATGGTATTTGTTTTTTCTGTGCCGCTACTGGTATTACGACAAGTAGTGATATGGTACAGTGCGATTCATGCTCTAAGTGGTACCATACTAGTTGTATTGGAGGTGATGTCGAATATTTTGGTGAAAAAACAAGATTTTGCTGCTGTGAAGCACACACAAAAGAAGAAAGTTTTGAGTATGTTTTAGTTAGCAAATGGTATAGATATTTGACTCATAAAACATGTTATACAGAGTAGTCTCTTGTATGAGGGGGAAGAGGAGAAGCGTTCTTTTTATGAATGACATCATGACTCTCTGGCCTAACAGAGGGATATCTGACGCTGTTATAGACTTCTTTGTTCGGTAAGGACTTTCTTTATCAAGCACTTGTTGGACAACCAATTATGGACAGGATTTTGCTACCTAAGAACGCCCCAGATATGGTAGCTAGCGCACTCAGCTACACCGCAGTAGTGGATTCATTAAAGCAGGAGTCTAGTGAGCTGAAAAAGAAGTTTATCAACACTAATGGGCCAATGGATTTCACTTCTGAGCACCCACTACTTTTCCCCTGTTGCATCCGGTATAGAATTTAAATTTTCATTTTCACTTTCACCTGTTATTATTTTAAAGGAGTATCTGGCACTGGATTCTGATTGTTGTATACAAAAAACAACAAATGTTGGTATTGAACAATGTATTTTGTATGTAATTACATTACAGTGCATTTGTGTTGGATTCTATGTCCCCACGCACCTTGACACCTACAAGTTGTGAGGCAGTTGCAGCTCTTAACACCCTGCTGCAGTGCTGGGTACCAAATATTTCACTGAAACCAGTTGCATATGAAGTAATATTGGTACTAATAACATTATGTATGAACCTCACACCTATGTGTGTATACACATACATAGGTTCCAATGCAGACATCTGGAGTCGATTGTGGGATTCATGTTATGCACCACATTCGAACCATTGTAAAGGTGTGACATGTTATGTTGCTGATACTCTAAATTTGTCACATTTAAAACATCTAGGTCTCATCTCAATCCAACACTCTCATAACGAACAGTACAATGTTAAATACTTCATTAAATGCTGAATCACTAAGGAAATCGATACTGGTTGAATGTTGTAACCATTCAAAAGTGACTGCCAGGTAATCTCACTTAAATCTAATTTTAATGTTTCATGTCTTTTGATGTTCATATGCAACAGAAAGTCAAAACAAAGAGTCGTCAAAAGTCAGATCCAGGTTTTTATCACATAACATACATGTAGGGGGTAAATGAGTTGTGTAAGGTGAATGGGTACGTATGTACATAACAACTCCCATCTAGGATCTAAGTATTATTGTAGGACAGGACACCCACCTTCATTGGGTTTTCGTAGTGGTGGTTTGTAATAATATAAACACACGCATACACATTAACCTGTAGTCAATGGCTGCATTGTTTCTAGGCAAGAGATACAGCTGTGTTGGAAGAAACAAGACACAAGCAACCTCCCGGTTTGTTTAAAGAAGTAAAGAGTACAATAAATCACAATAACACCCACCTTCAGGTTGCAGACATCGCTGGAAAAGGGAAGGGAGTTGTGGTGGGGGAAAAGGCAATCAAGAAAGGAGAACTTGTTTGTGAATATGTGGGAGAATGTATATCTTATGATGAAGCAATTGAAAGGGAAAAAGGAAATTTGAAACTACATAGAGAATACAAAGGTTTTATGTTTTTCTTTAAATTTAAGGAAAAGAAGCTTTGGTAAGTAGTATAGATGTATGTATAGAGCACATATGTAAATCTATCTCTCCATACTGCAGTGTTGATGCAACAAAAGACAATGGAACTGTGGGAAGGATGATAAATCATTCTAAAAAGTCGGCAAACCTGGTACCTCGCCTGATTGACCTAAAGGGTACACCTCACATATGCTTCTTTAGTAAGACTGTTATAAATCCAGGGAAGGAGTTACTGTACGATTATGGAGATCGTTCTAAATCAGCCAGAGATGCCCATCCATGGCTTCAACTATAAATAATGTAGCTGTAAATCAATGTCACTTGTAATCATCATCAACAGGATTATTTATTACAGTTCATGTACCACAAGTATAGCTTACAATGAGCCATGAAATGTTGTGGGTTCATGTAAGACAATGAGGACTTAATTTTCTTCAATGATGAATTGCTTTGTTCCACAACCTGACTGTTGATTGTGGCCAACTGAGGGTATGCTCCAATATTGTAGGCAGAACTACACCCTGAGTGTGATAGGTGTTTAAAAGCAATGTTAGGGTTAAAGGATCAGACAACAAACCTGTATGATTTCGCCAATGAAACCTATCAACAAAAAACCGGCTTCTTTTGAAATGATGTGCTTCACGATTCAAGCAGTAGTTGTGTAGGTTGCAGGCATTATCATAAATGATTGTAGCTGGAGCTGCAGAAATAAACAGAAACAACCTGCATCATGCAACATGTACAATCAAGCCACATACCTTGCTTAAACCTTTCATAAATGATTGTAAAAGGTATGTTTGGCGATTCATGAAATCTCATTACTTCGAATCCATAACACACCCCTGCAATTCCACAGTATTATAATTCTACAAACCATGAGGGCAATACATGGTGAATATCCCCGGAGTGAGCGTTGGATGTCCTGTACTTCTCTTTGTGCAAATTACCCCCTTACGATCACTATCTGCGTCATAGCATCTCCGAACACGAACACGCAGTAGTTTTGGAAAAAAGCAGAGACTCTTGAGTTCATTTTCTTCAGGTAGGTTGACTAAATGAGAAGCTGAATGGCCAGATCCTTCAAATGGAAGGTTAGCTTTTTTAATTATTTCTTTTAATATAGGGGACATCTGGTGGTAGAAAGAGCTCAAAAACAACAGGTGTTGTCTCTTGGCCTGGCAAGAAAGTGCTAAGGTAATAGATAATTACATTTGGTAAAACTTACATCTGGGTTTGAAGACAGGTCTTTGTCACACAACTGGTAAAATAATTCAGTTATTAGCTCATTAGGTGGCACAAGTGCACACACTGGGGATGAACTTGCCAAGCATTGCAAAAACTTGGTAAGCTTTGGATGGCATTGATGAAACTTCTGTGACGAATTTTCCTTCTCTGCATGAGTGATGAGCTCCATAAGGAATGGTGCATGTGCCTCCATTAACTTCATAAGTTCCTCCATCTCCATGCTGTCCAAGCCATTTTTAGTATAGGTTAGCAATAGCCTCCTGGTTTTTGGGTTGGTTATTAGCACGTGATCGGAAAATCTTTGAAATGGACATACATAAATATCACAAAAACAAGCAGGCAGTATACTTACTTTCCTTTCGGAACCTTTTTTTGAGGAAGTGTAATTAGCATGTTATCTTTCCAGAAATCTAACTCCCTTCGAAATGAGAGGCCAGTGGCATCCATAACAAGTGCTTGTGGATCATTCCCACAAGTGATGCACTTAAACCCCTCTGAGTAATCGATGTCTAGAAGTGACATATAAGCATACCAAGCACTGCGAAAATGATAGTATTCAACAGTGCTGGAGAAGCTAGGATTACCACTATCTTCATGGGCTTTGGCCAGGATTTTGTACCCTGTATAAATTGCCATCCTATTGAAATAATGAATAATGGTAATCAAAATCTATACACAAACCATTTTACATACCCTCCAATGAGGAACTGAAACATGAACTGTCTTAGTACTTCATATGAAAATATCATATGCTTCATAATTATTTAGAAGGCATTGACCTCTCCCATCATAATGCAGACAACCAGTGCACTGGACAGTAGTGCATTTTTGAGATAGAACTATGTATAGAAGAGTAACATGCACATCACATACGTAGATAATAATCATTTTTTGCATACCATGTGCTTGCAAGAGCTGTCTTTCTGTAACAATCAGAGAAGTACAAGAAAGGTATGGCTCACTCCAAGACATTTTAAAACATTCACTGCAAGGAACTGATGCATCTGGCACAAGCTTTGCTACATTATTTGAGCCAGTGAGAAACCGTTCTACTGGTGGCATGGACAACACTGCAGATAGTTCCGGTGGTAAAACAAATGGCATCTTCTGTTTTGACAAACAAGTCAGATCAGGATAACATTTCTTAGGCCTTGGAACAGAGGTTTGTGAGACAGCTTGAGAAAACAACTTCAGATCATCTGGTAAATCTGATTCACTTTGGACGAAACCCAAAAGATGTTGAACATGGTCGCAGTTAGTTTTGCCATAACGGCAGGTTAAACAAGCGATCTGGTAATTTGTTGAAATATGCACAACACCATACGATCCATCCGTTTTAACACAAGCACATTGGGAACTGATTATTGTAATTTCCTCAGAAACCTATTGAGAGTTATTATGATGCGTGTATTAAGGAACCACGATGGGCGTGGTTTAGCGCTTTAACCCCGTCGTCACCGAAGCGCTCGTGCAGCTTTTTCCGTGCTCCTTTCTCCCTACAGCAGAAGCAGAGAAGCGTAGAGCTTCTCGACGATGCTGAATGTGTTTAACACTACACAGTATCTAGTTAACCCAAAAAATATGCTCAGTTGACAGTAGAAACACGACCTCTTTTTTAATGGGAGGGGCTCGTAAACGTAGTGGGAGGGGCTCGAAAGCCGGCGAATTAATTAACAACATCCAAAAAATCGACAGCAGTGCGATACTTAAACCGTCCAGAGCGGAAAATCAGTAGCCTAGTGTCAACATTAATCAATGCATCTCTAAAATTATTGTTGCTTAAAACTAGAAATGAAAATGACTGTGTGCAGATAAAAAAATGCTGTGTCATCAATGTATGAAAGAAGTGATAAGCATGATCATTCTCTCTGATTATGAAAAAACATGTTTATAGCTTACTAGCTAATGAGAGACAACATCCATAATCCAAGAGAAGGACTTAATTAATTAAGGAACCGACCTAATTACTTCTTCATACATTCAACATTAATGTTGACACTTGGACAATTTAATCATCTCTTATCAACACACACATAATTACTTTCATTTCTAATCAATCTAGGTGTATAGGGAGAAACCAGATCCATTATCGGAGAAAAGAACATAAGGAACCGCACTAATATTACTTCTTCATACATTCAACATTAACGTTGACACTTGGACAATTTAACAACACACACATGGTTACTTTCATTTCTAATCAATCTAGGTGTATAGGGAGAAATCAGATCCATTATCGGTGAAAATAACATAAGGAACCGCACTAATTACTTCTTCGTACGTACATTGAACATTAATGCTGACACTTGGACAATTTAATGGAATATTACAGTAGACACTCGGTTTATTTCATTATCAGCAACAATATTATTTCACTTCATATCATTCAGTAAAGCTAGTGCACAGAGGTCAGGGACTGAAGTGGAAGAGGTATGAAGTGTGGAAGGTCAGGGGTCAGAGGTCAAGGAGATTTTTCTCAGTCTAGACATGAAGAGAGGGAATTGATGGATCAGATAGGATGGGAAGGAAGAAAGGAAGATAATGTTGGGAGAAGCAGTTTTGGAGAAGGCATGGAAAGGGGGGAGATGAGTGGAAGTGGAGGGATGGCTGAGGATACCCAGAAGGAAACCTACTTGGGTTTTTATGTTAGGAAGGTAAAACACAATACAACACATTAAACTTTTGTGATTCTTGTTTTTTGTTAGGAGCGTAAATGCGAAACTGAAACTAAGTTGTTACTACGAAAAGCAAGCAGAAAGAGGAGTGATACTCGCTATGATTTCAGTTCTCCTGCCCTAAAGAAGAAAAATGTATAGATTCCATGAACAACAAAACTCGACAACCTCAACACTTTCTTCAACACCACATCTCTTTTGCTTTGTATACTGGTCTTGAATGCAAGGCTATGTGTTATGTTGGTCAACTCTACACACAGGGCAAGGGTCAAAACAAAGCAGCAGCTCCACCTTTGGACAGGTGTTTTGGCTGTAATTATTATTTGCTTTTGGTATTATGTATTTCCTCAGCATTTGAGTGTTGACAGTGGGTGTGATGGTGAAGAACGTAGATGTGGTTCTATAGATGATGATTCTGAAACTCTTCAAATTCTGAATGAGGTGTGGCAAACAATGTTTGTTCACATCCATTACACATTTTCATTTCCACAGGAGACTGAAGGGGAAAAAATAGTGGCATCAGTGTCAATTCTTGATGCCTATATGTTCCAGTTGAAAACAAAGAAAGCATTTGCCTTGTGCAATGGATCACTTCATGCTTTCGTTCTACAGGATTTCTCTGAAGAGACTTTGTGTTTGAAAGTTAGTGTACCTAGTATTACAACAGTGTAGTATGTTACACAGTGTATATTATTCTTTCAGCCACTTCATTATCACTTTATCTCTCGCTCGGCAAAGCAGTTTAGGGATGAGGTTGAGTGGGTGTATAATTGCACATGTGATTCGCATGCATCTCGGTTAAGCACCACTTTAAATAGCACCCTGGAACTCAACTACTCGGAATTCTTGAAGAAATTTCCGTAGTGCCTACATGTCCAGGCAGTTTTATATGCAAGTTCTCAACTAGATGCCATTCACTGTATCTCACCTCTTCAATATTTCCTAGGTGTGTAATTATGGATATGTTTGTTATATGTTTAATTCTGCTATAATTATTTACATCCAGATCATACATATAGCCTGGTACATGTTGACGACCCATCATCGGTTAGTTCTTTAATTAGTCGTCGGTTCCTTATATTCCGTACTTTATATATACCTCGTGGGGGATGCCTCCACAGCAGAGTTCAATATTTCCAGGTGTTTTCGTTAAAAGCTGGCGTAGAGCATACACGGTAGGCGGCTGTATGATAATACCTGGAATGCGCTTGGCGAATGAGCGGTAAGATAATAGCCCGAAAAATTTATGTGTGACGACATGACATGTGGTTTTTACTGTTGAGAAGGTGTGGCTATCACGTGACTATCATGCGCGTATACTATATACTTCAGCGCAGAGACACGAGCAGAAAGAGAGAGTATAGTAGAGCGGGATAGAGGTGTTCACCGGCACTCTTGTTTTGGAGTCGGTGGGCTGGTGTTGTTTTGAAAGCTGGAGTGCAGGTGAAGCACACAATAACCTTCTGGAGTGGAGATGTCTGTAGTAGACGAGGGGTTCATATGCCCTTATTGTTTGGTCGGGTTTGCTACATCAGGAAAGCTGCAGTCACACTTTGTGGAGATGCACAGCAGTAACGAGGCGTCGCTAGGATGGGAAGAAGGAGGTGAATCTTGCAATGTTGGTGCTACAGCTGGCTATGAACAGCTAGGAAACGAGGTAAATGTGACATTCAAATCCGGTGCATGAATCATAACTACGACTTAGGACATAATTATGACGATGCTCGCTTGTTTTGTGAAGCAGACGTCTGACCCTGTCCTTATTGTACTGTCCACTAACCTCTCTAGGTCTTTTTAAGTGTTCCTTGATGGGCCCTATGAAGATTATGGGCATTTGTTGTAGAAACTGGCGAGAGTGTAGGCGGACAAGCCACTCCTTTATACTTTTTAGCCCTTGTGTAATGTACAGAAGAAAAGCAATTAACTAAAAAGGTCAAACCAACAAAGCACAAGCAAACAAGCACAGACAAGAACAAGTCTTGACCTTTTATCTCTGGGGGAGCTTATCTCGTTAATGAGTTATTGATCCACTGATGAAGAATGAAGTGCAAACCATTAGTTCTGAGACGAGACATATATGACCAGGTTGGCCAGGGTTTTCCCCAGAATGGATTGAGTGGTGGCAGAAGATGCACACAATGTATGTGAAAATGATCATCTGGTGGTGGATTTTCCCATCTAGTTGTGGCCACCTGTATGATATGGACGCCGTTTGACGCTAGAGCTTTGAGGTGGACACCGTTTGATGCAAGAACAGCGCAGGGTGATTACGGTGTGGGCGGAGCGACAGAGCGAGTGTGCCAGGAGCCGCAGGAAGGGGAAAGCATATAGAGTGCACGAGACCGTGGTGGGCAGCGATCCTCAGCACGTCTCCACGATGCCTCAGATGCGACAGCCCTAAGATCAGGAGTTTGAAGTCTAGATGTAGCTTATATGTTTTGTGTATGATTGTATGTACGTAGCTACCGGCGGGTGACGTCTCGAGCTGGCATCTGGGGCATCGTGCAGATGGTCGCAGTCTCATCCGCTCTACCGGCTTTACCCTTCCTGTGGCTCCTGGCAATCTCGCTGATTAGTTTTTTCTTGATTTTGCGCCATGTTAATCGAATGCAATTGTTTCAGTATAATATGTCCTTTTTTATTCATGCCATTGTCGCTGTGAAGCTGTTTGGTATCGCTCATAAGCTGCAGCTGCCTTGTGGGCTATGGTGCAGAATACAGAGGCATTGATACAGAACAAAACACAGTAACCCTCACTGCGTTTGTACCCGAGGGTTAATTAAATGTCACCTTTGCAGGAGTGTGCACCATCACAAAGCCAAAATCGGTTGTTATCAGCTTCTTGTTGTATACTTCACTATGTGTCAAGAGGTGTTTAGTGAAATAGCTTAGCATTTTACTTTCACCCCTTTCTCCCTAACCCAAAACGATTAGCCACACACTGTATGTGGGTTCCCGACCTTGAGGTTGGTTGTATGGTAGTCTGAAGTGATGTCGTTTGTTTGTGTGGGGTTTACACTTGGCTTCGGTTGCATCAACTTTACATCGCCTATGGACATTTACAGTATCTTTATTAACCCTCGACACACATGCGTAGCGAGGGTTGCGGTACTAGTATGTATATGCTTAGTCTCGCATCTGTTGCTATGACACATAGACTACATGTTTTGTAAACAACACAACAAATACAGTGTAGCCTCGTGTGATTTGTACTCGTTCACTCTTACAGCTCCAGACAAATGTAACCTGCACATGCATACCGTGGACATGCGCTGTACAAACCTTTCTCCACTGTAATGTATTGCATCTGTGTTTCTGTGCATTTCCCTAACATGTAGATTATGAGAATTTACACTTTATGACACTTTTTGGATGCTGGTATATACTTTGTATTTGGGTAGTCGAAGGTTTCACACTTGGGACCTTGTAGCCAAAGTAGGAATGTGGAATAGAAAAGCAAGCCGTATTGGCCTCTGGCAGCAAAGCCGTTGCAGCAACTCAGAATGGCCGTCTTATTGGCGAGCGGGAGCAAGCCAACCTAGTGGTTCGTTCGAGCGGAGTTTATATTATATACGACCGGCGTCGTGTAAGTGCGCATGCGCGGCTTTGTACGCGCTTCTTTTTATCCGAAAGTATTTCCAAATTTTTTACACATTTTCACACACGGTGCCTCGCGCCGATCGATCTAGCCAGCTAGAGAACTCTCCTCCATTCGACGGCATGCGCTGCAACCTTCGGTGACTGACCAAGGCTGTACCTCTTCCCAATCTTCATGGTTCCAAGGTGCAACTTGCAAATACGCTAGCATTGCTCGTGCACCCTGGTGGACCACGACTGAGCTGAAAGCGTAAGGTAAGTACCGTTCTGCTCACCTGCTCACCGTTCTGATACGCATGCAACGGCGACAGGTAGATCTGTCTTGCTTCACGAAAGGAAAGCTGTGCGCTGACGGCACGTTATCCAGCCCGAACATCGCGGGCAAATCCCAAGTTGGGTCGCTCCCGCTCGCCAACAATGTTCAACATTTCCACTAGTATAATCTATGAGAATATTCTTTGCCTATATTGACCATTCTGCGTAGTTGCTGGTACCAACTGTACTGTAACATGCTGAGAGTAGTATATACCATGACAATTTCTAGCACCTGGTGTTTATTAGAGACCTTGAATTTTCCATTCCTTCTCAATTGACACCTGGTTTCCCCTTTGAGAGGGTGTTTATTTGAGTAACTGTAAGTGGGTCTTTTGATTGGCAATGGGCTGACTGTGTGACTATGTGTCCGTTGTCCACCTTGCAAATGTATGTGTACTTAGAAGTAAAAAATGTGTGGTTTTAAGGGACATTGTTCATTTATTGTTAAATCAGTATGCGTACATTGGGGTAACCAGGTAAACAGGCTTATGAGGAGTAGTGAATTTGCGCAGGAGGAGAGTGTGAATCGACTGCTGGGTCATCAGTTTGTGCAGCGGCGGATGCAGAAACCGAGCTCTTGCTCTGCTTGCGAAGAGATCATCTGGCAAGATGGCATTGCCTGCCAAAGTGAGTGTGTGTCTGGGTCCATGTGTACTCATCCAGTCACTAACCACTAAGCCAAGATTGTGAAACAGAGCCACATATAAGCACATTTTCGCCAAGCGGGAGCTCATATATGTTTCCCCCAAAGCCTGTTACAGTCTGCTTGGAGAACTGTGTGTTGTTGGGGTTACTGCAGGCTGTAAAAGAAATGTAGTTACTGACCTTTCTTTAACAAAAAGGCGCGTAATCCTACCAATGTGCATATGAAGTATTATGTAGTAGTAGCAGTGTCCAAACCACTAGGTTAGCTTGACAATAATTCCCAATAGCTGAGCTTTTCGACCTAACAGTGTCTTTTCTCTTCAGTGGAAGTGTGGTAAAGCATTTCAATTGTGTACCTAAATCTTGGATGAATTGAATGTAAGCAGTATGTGTTGCATGGTATACAGGCTGTCCTGTTGTGATCCATGTTGATGGTTGCCGGGGACAGCTCAATGTACCTTGTACCACTGTCTCTGAAACACCTGAGGTGAGCCAGCACAAGGAGGTTCAAAGGTCGTCTCGTCCTCAACAACCTGCCAAGGGACCATTGGCACTGGTGCGGAGGCAAATTGCAAGGTGAGTATTGTGTACACATGTAGTTGTGTGCATCACTGTTTGTATCTACATGTACATAAAATCCTCAGGTGTGTATATCCACAAGGGTTACTGTAGTTGGTCTGCTAAATCTACCATAGACATGGAAAACTAAAGTTGCGAGGGTTATGCACCATGAAGTTCAGTTCAGGATTTTTCTTAGGGTATGGCAGGACGAACCAAGACCTTCTGTTTGTCACAAATGAGATTACATTCTTGTTGTACATAAGTACAAAGTTAAACACAGTGTTGGATGCTGCATACAATAGCTATTGTGTCTCTCAGTGTGCTGAAAGTGACCATTCTTCTGCAGGGGCCGGGAACGCTATGTGAATGAGGAGTTTGACCTTGATCTCACCTACATCACTGAGCGAATCATTGCCATGTCATTCCCAGCAACAGGCATGGAGTCAACGTACCGCAACAGCCTGAAGGATGTGGCCAAGATGCTCAAGACCAAACACCAGGAGAATTACATGGTGAATTGCTTACACACTGTTTTCCTCTCTCTGCTACCATTATTGGTAGCAGGATGCATACACTATAGTGTACTTTCAGCTAGTACTATAGTCTTGGTACCAGCCCCTAGCTTTAACCGTTTCAATGCGGGACGCGTATGTGGACCTGCCCCCTTCCCTTCGGGAGGCATATTATTACATTTTGCCTCATGTCCGCATACGTACATCGCTTTCCTCAGCTTACCTGTGACGGCCATCTCCAGTCTCAATTGTTCTCTGCTTACTGAACAACACAGCCTTGCCCACGAGGTACACGCACACTTCCTGCACACGATCTCTCTGCACCTGCGCACGGGAAAGTGGCTGCTTATTTTCGCAGCTATACCATTGCTATTGTTTCCTAAGCTCAGTACATGGTAGTTCAGTTTACTTCTGCAGAGCAGAGCCACTCCGCAAGCTGTTTACCTATTCAAAATCCTGCAGAGTGTAGAAATCGACGTACCTTTCAGCTACAACAGTCGCTCGCGTGTTTGCTAAAACTCATGATTTTCCACACACGCGCATGGCGTAATTGATGCATGCATTTCTGTGCATGTGCTTAAAAGATTAACAAACAATAGAGGGTACCCTCTCTTCTTTGTGAAAGGGACTGGTATTGGGACAACGGTAGAATATATTTAGTATCTACCTTAGTGTGACGATATATTGGGCTCATGAGTATGTAACTATGCACATGTGCTGTACAAGTAACGAGTTAGGGAGCTTTTTCTGCCTTAAGTTTTTGATCACAAAATGATGTAAATTTAATTTACACATTTCCTGAAACGTCAACAAAACTCACACAATTTTGAACCATGACCCTTAGGCGGGGGGCATTGCGGCATTATCTTGTAAAAAAACACTTCAGAAGTGGTTATTCGCCACGTGGATGTGGCGGTCGGAGCTTTAATGTTCATTTCATCTACCCTTTCAGTAATAATAATAATACTCAGGTGGCTGCCATAGCACTAGGGCCATAGACCACGCACCCAGAGCAATGGGCGGAACCGTTAATACACCATATGAACATGAGGTGTCTGTCTCACCTTCCAGACACCTCAACTCACCCCTTCCTCCAGCGACACCCTGCAGCTCCCCAGACGCAATCTGAGACTGGGTCTGTTGTACGCTGGGATTATCGCTGTATAACCTAACCTTTCTTAGCTCCCAAACATCCAAAATAAAATCTTTAACAAGGCCAAACAAAGAACCAAATTTATCCTCCCACAGTTCACTACCCAATATAAAGGATGCTTTGCTGAAACTATCAAGCGACTGGAAATGCTCACCCATCAATCCCCAAGCTTCCCTGCAGGGCAACTAGAAATTGCTCCTAAGACTACTATATGCTGACACTCCCACAACACATGACTCACACTTTCACACTCATCATCACACAACAGGCACTCTTCACCCCCTCCCTCCCCCTATGCCTACCCAGTTCCTCATGTAGCCCATGCGTGCCTCACCTGAACTTAAACATTAATCTAGACCCAGCATCACTTTTCCCATGCAAGTAGTTTTTGAACTCTACCACCTTGTTAAATGTCTTATACAATAACAGCTTTACTTTGCTATTTAGTCCCTCTTCAAACTTTCTAATCTCCCTCTCATTAATACTGTCCCCTATTATAGACAGAAAGCCCTTCAAGGAGCAATCCCCATTTTAAATATCATGCAACCACTCTGCCTTGTCAAGACCTAATGACGAAAAGAGATCATCAATGACCTTACTCCAACCCTTCCTCTGCCTGCCTCTCCGTGGCTTAAAATTCCATTCCTGATTAAAAAGCTTCTTCGGATACCTATTGCCTGGCAATGCCGCTAACTTATACCACCACTTCAACTTATTCTTATCCCTACGCCCTTGTAACGTATCAAACCCCATATCCCCCCTAACGGCTTCATTACATGTCTTAGACGAACACCCAAGAATGCGCTTAGCTCCTCCCAGCATAACGGACTCTAACGCAGCTGCCTGAGTCTTATTGGCTTCCCACACCTCACCCCCATACTCTAAAGTTGGCCTAACCACCGCCAGCAAAAACAACCTGCGAGCACTCAAATTAATATCCCTATTACTAATACACTATGCAACTGATTAACCTTCCTTCTACCATTGTCTAACACATTCTTGATATGCACATCCCATGCACTAGTACTAGTAAAATCAACACCCAAGTATGTGTATTTAGATACTCTAGGCAAAACATACTCCCCCCATTTCCAAGCACCATCCACTGACTCCCTAGCGAACACCATCACTGCACTCTTACTCACATTAGCCTTTAGCCTCCATTTTCGACAGTAGGCATGCACCACATCTATAATCGTCTGTAACTGATCCTTAGACTCACTAACACCAACGAAGTCATCTGCAAACAAAAGTCCTCCAAGTCTCCCATCACTACTTAAATCGATCCCAATCTCAGCTTCCTCCACCTCCCTCAACAACCCATTGATAAATACGGAAAACAAAATTGGAGATAAGCTACATCCCTGAGCTACCCCCTGATCCACATCAAATGCCTCTGACCGTTCCCCATTCAACAATACAGCACTCTTTGAATACTCGTACATCTTCTTAATGACCCTCCACATCTTCCCTCTTACCCCAAATTCCCACAACTTAAACCACAGGCCGTTACGCCACACACTATCGTATGCCTTCTGCACATCTAGAAAGAATGCATATGTCTCCTTCCCCTCCTTTAGTCTACCCTGCACGAGTTCATTCAGCGAATAAATATTATCAACACAACCCCTTCCAACCCTAAAACCAGCCTGGCCCTCATGCAATGCCTTGCCCTCGTCCAGATGCTTCACCAACCTATTGTTCAATACCTTACAAAAGACCTTCCCAACCACACTCAGCAGAGTGATGCCCCTATAATTCCCAGGATCCTCCTTATGTATCTCCCTTCTTAAACAAGTTAACTATGAGGCCCTCCCTCCACTGTGGTGGCACAAACTCCTCACGCCAAATTACTGTAAACAACTGTTTAAGTAACTCTACCATCCCTGACCCACCATGCTTTAGAAGCTCCCCCACAAGCGCATCACTACCACCAGTCCTTCAACTTTCTAACCCACACTGCAATCTCCTCCAAATCTATTTCCCTATCCAATACATTTTCCACACAATCTGTTGGAAACTCACACACTTTCTTATCCACTTCCTCTTTCCAACTATCATCAAAGGCTGTACAACACTACAAGTGCCCAACTGCTGATAATGCCTCTATAACACCTCCAACTTGCCCTTTGTACTAGTCACTGACACCCCAGCACTATTCCTCAAAGCTGTAATCCCCCTCCTCTCACCCTTTGTCCTTCTACCAACAAATGCCCAACTTACGTGACATATCTGTTCCGCATCTGTGCTCAATTGGTGTTTTTCAGTAGTCTAAAAAAAGTGAATAGATCCGGATTGAGTGAGGCATGTAATAAATATCTCAGCCGGCTGATAGGCAGGCACAGATGCTGTGCGTTAGGTCTGTAAAATGGCAGGGAGTAAGATCGCCACAGCGCACATGCACGGCATGAAGGGGTTGGTCGATTTGGACAGAATCACGCAAGCGCACAGGGAGTTTCTGAGAAAAGCGCCAATTGAGCACAGATGCGCAACAGGTAGAGTAAGATATGTTATGTAAGTTGGCTAGTACATTCTTCACAATAAGAGTTCTTCAAACATTCCAACCATAGCAGTGCGTATGATAACTGCCGGTCATCGGACAATATCCGGTCAATTAAGGTGAATGTCCGTGCAATTGCACATTCGGGTGCACATCGTGACGCGTCGCGCCAAGAAGCTGGCAAGCCCACATGCCCCACAGCCCACCGCCCACACACCACGTGCGTGCGCTCGTGCAGATCATGCAGCGCACACACACTATAAAGTGCGATGTGTTGAATACGCACCTATCGCGAAGGCTTTAAGCACCCTAGACCCTAGACCCAGCGAGTGAAATGAAGAGGAAGTTTGACATAGCCTACATGTTATGCAAAGAAGGGCTAGTCTTCACAAAAATGGAGGCTGTATGTGAACTTGAGGACAGGTTACAAGAACAACCAAGCATGTGCTACGTTTATTAACCCTTGGTGCGCATGCGCAGCGAGGGTTACGGTAGTTGGGTCTGTGTGTCTGTCTGTCTGTCTGTTACTCTTCATCTCACTTCTCAAGTGTTCGTTGGTCTCACGAAAAGGGATACCACCTACTGAACGGGCAAACCTTCGGCGAACTGCGCAAGCGCGATACTGCTAATTGATGGGCTGGGCTGTAGTATGCATTTACTCGTGGTCTCCCGCTAGCAGCTCGCGGAGAGTCTGACCCGGGCTAGCTACAGTAGTAGAAAGCATGCGGAAGTCACGTGCAACAGCCCCTGGAGCCTCTTTTCCCAGGTTAAGCTGAGGCTCCTTGCTCAGGTCTCCTCCAGAAAAGTGTCAGCTACACAGCCGAGAATATGGTTCTTTACAGCGTCAGCACCCAGCTGTAGATTTGCAATCCACCTCGCCCTCGCCGTTTTTCAGCCGGGGGAACGACTCCAGGGTCTGTTGCACGTGTCGAGCCACACATAACACATCGATTTCCAGTCATGATACTTCTCAGCCCAGATCTCCGCGCAAAAACTAGCTAGAGCGTCCGTTCTTTTTCTCGCACATACTACGGTTACTGTAATATTGCAAAAGCTTATCAATAGAGCATACCGTAAGAGCTGCATGCTGCGCCGCTCTAAGTATACGGACGGTTCCATTTTCTCCGTAGAACGCCAATACATTGCTGGAGCCGGAACAAGACTCCGGATGTGACGTCACATTCAATTTAAAAGTAATGCATTCCTTGGGCTGCTCGTCCATTTGCATAATGGCTTGTTCACTTGCTTTTCATGCCATAACTATTTTTACGAAAATCGCCAGTTTTAAAATCAAGCCAGCGTAGCGCCGAACCTATTGCCATAGCTTATTGGGCTGTCTCGTTGCGCCTGGTGGCAGAAACGTGGTAACAGACACACACACACAGACACACAAACCAACTACTGTAACCCTCGCTGCTCATGCGTGCCGATGGTTATAAACTCACCCAAGAAGTGCCATGAGCTTGACAAAGTTTTATCTGCTCTAGGGTTGTGCCTAGAGCCTGGTGACCTACCGAATGAGGGACGGAATTGCCCATTGCGAGCATGTGGTACTCGCTTTGTTAGCCACTAATTTGCAGGTATCAGCAGATTAATAGTTATGGTGCCTACCTAACTACTCTCACTGAAGACTCTTCTGTAAGAGACATATTAAACTGAAGTTAAATGGGTATGTTTACCTTGAGCGGGAGGACATGGCTAGGCCAGAACATGAGGATTATCGTGCTATATGAAGCTCTTTAATGCTGCAAATGCGAACAGATGGAAAATGTGCTGAGCTTCTGTTCTGATTTATGTCAAACGGAAGAGTGGAGCGAGTTTTTTCCTCTCTAAAATTTATTAAGTCTGATGGATGTAGCAGTCTCGGTGAGAATCACACTTGACTATCTTGTTTGGATTGCCGTTGATGGACCACCATTTGGCTCAGCTAGTTGCCACTGATGGAGTTTAACACTGGTAGAGGAGTAAGCAACGTCGAAAGGTTCAGAACACAGTGGCAGCGCCTATACCTGGCCCTTCTAATGCTGAAAATGACTCAACTGAGGAATACTCCTTGGATATAGATGACTGGGACACTTCTGTTGCTTGAATATTGTACATTATACTCATGCATATTTTGTTATGATCAGCTATTATGCATCATCATCATAACCCAATAACCTCTGTTTAAATGTGCACACAGGTAAATGTCAGGACAAATTTTGTGCACGTCAGGTCATATCACTAAGTACGGTAGTACTTAGTATATAGGGATGACACTGGTTGTCCTGCATTATGCATGGAGACAGATCGTGCTCTGTAGGCTGTGTACAGCCCAGATCTTGGAGCGTCATGGAACAGCCCACGCTTGCGCAGTTTACAGACACTGTTATCAACTGCATGGAGACAGCTGGCTGCAACTGCTTCATCCTGAATTAGCCTGGTATTCGTGGCCTAGCGAACACTGAAAAACCTCGGGCATGATGCGCTGGCGGTCGCGTACACCATGAGCCAGGCATGAAACCTCGCTCACGCTGCAGTCTGTGCTGGATTCGGGCCTGACGTGCAAATCACTCGCGACCCCATTCTTCTTATGAAAGTAGCGGTTGCTTCGGTTGCTGCTGGTGATATGTGTAGCGCGGTTCTCTATGGGCCCTACAATCACCCTTTCTTCACTGGTATGCTTCTACTAGCTTCCGGAAGATGTGGTAAGCGTGAATAAAGCCACCATTCTAGTAAGAAGGCAGCAACGAGGCCGTGGGGAGCCGCGCTTCGAGCTTTCAGTGGCCTGCACTGGTCGTTCAGACTGAAAACTACTCTGATCTCTTGGAAGGACATGGAGCATTTGCCATGTGGGCTAAATTGGTTTCCAAACCACCCCCAAAGTTGGTTTAGCTAAACCGGTTTGTAAACCGATTTAGACCATTTACATGTAAACCGGTTTAGGCTAAATCGGTTTACGAACCGGTTCAAAGTGCCCGTGTAAACGGGGCTTTTGGATGCCAGTTCTACAACACTGTGGTGTTCAAGAATACGGCTCCCATCTAGACCCTGAACAAGTGTATACTGTATTACTTGATTTCATTCACTCTGATGAAGGCTGAGGTACTGCCACCGAAATGCCCTATATCTTTTTTGAAGAACCTTTATTTTGAAGGTAGAGTAAGGTTTAATGACACCACTTATCTCCTGCCTAATATTACACAACCTCTGCACTTTCGTGTGCAGTGTGATAAATATCCACTTCAGTAGATCATACTTTGTACCTATCATCCATTTCTTTTGGTATCAAATTCGCATTTATTACTATCTGTGGGTCAGCAAAACCTCTAGTAAGTAAAAATTGTCACACAATGGCTGTTTGGGAGCATGCCAGACCAGGGTGGTCGAATGGCCAAAGGAGAGCGCCTACATGTACTGTATGTACATATGGTGTACTGAAGATATCTCCAAAATTCATCAGGGTTGGTTGAACTGCTGTAACGTAAAGCAGAAAGTAGTTCTCAAACACAGAGTCCACTGACCGTTGCTTTGTGCGTGTGTTTGAAATATCCAGCAATGTCTACTTGAGGCCCCACCAGCTCCAGCCATTACACAAAACAACCCTGATCTGTTGGTACTGCACAAGGATGGACCATCGGTCGAATTTGCGAGAGTGGTGGCGTTAAACTTTTTTCTCTTTTCAGTTTACCAGGTTTCATTGTTTAAGAACCCAGCACAAGCAAGTTACCTTTTTACAAGTTTTTATATTATTGGTAGGGTGTTTGTGTTTGGTTGCTTTATTGGAATTAACTAGTTTTGGTATTGTGATGTTTTTCCCTTGACTATTTTGTGTTCACAAACAAATTATTGTGCTCTTGTTAGACCTTTCACTCTCTGTGCAATCTTCTTACAAAATTTCATGTATTGGCAAGTGAATCGTGCTGTCTGTGGCACTGCACATACCGCGATGTGATAAATAATTCTAAGTACGCTCGAAACACGCCCAAAATATTGAACTGCACTCTTTGCTCGCCAATGGATATTTACCTTCTTGTAACTTTGTCATTCGGAGTTTTGAGTTATGCGAGTTTGATCTAAAGGAGATGGTTATTAACAAACTTTAACTACTTTTATAATGCTAGGTACACATTGTCATCCTGCTGCAGTTATCGAGAGGCACTTTTAAGTCTGCAAACTTAAGTTGAACAATTTTGAACCCCTTTAGATATTCAATTTATCTGAGAGGAGCTACGATATATCAAGATTTAATAACCAGGTGAGTCATATCAGGTTGTGTATGTCCAGATATTAAAGCTAATGAGGACAATAGAGATGGGATATGAAGCTGCTGCTTTATGAAATAAAAAAAATGCCGGGGATCATGTTTTAAGAAGTTTCTTGTGAACCCAACGAGGAAAAAGGTTTATCCAGCTGTCCCTAGTAGAGTCTAGAGTCTCAACAATAGTACGTCCGATAGTTGATGGTGTCCAATTATCGGTTGTTGTGTTAATCTTTGATCTCCAGGTGCTGGACTTTGGCTGGCCAGACCACCTAGCCCCTTCCCTGGAGAGGCTGTCTTCTGTATGTCGTTCGATGAAGTCCTGGCTGGACTCTGACCCTCAGCATGTTGTGGTTGTCCACTGCAAGGGTGGCAAGGGCCGCACTGGTTGTGTCATTGCTGCCTTTATGAACTACTCCGAGATTTGCCATAGGTTGGTCTGAATACTGTGTACAGTACGAACTCACTAATAAGGAACCCACTTACCACACACTAATAATAGAATGGCAGTCCTGCGTGCAAAGATGTGTTGGGCATGCTCAATAGGCATTTTGACCTCTGAACGCGACCAGGTGCAATGCCGACAAAGAGCGAACTGCGCATGCCGCATATGTTGTGTCTGGCACTTGAATCATGTTGAATAAGGGGAAAAGACAGTCCCTACAGTTGGTTCAGTGATCGTAGCTTATCCGTGTTCAGCAGCTCGAACTTTTTACTATTTCGACCACCACCAGGTCCTGAGGTGTTTGGATTAGCAATGTGTACAGTACGTACATACAAAAATGTTCCCACTGCGGCACCGTAGTACGGTCTCACTGTAGCAAGTTTACGGTGTTGCTACGCCGTAGCTATGGCATACTGTAAGTACACTACGCTGCTGTAGCAAGAGCTACAGTGAAGTTCGGTGCTACTTAGTATCAAACAACTCAGTCTACTCGGTAAAAGAAATAAAATGGTTTTCACTGACTGCTAGAAGTGAAGAATGATAGCCCACAGTCGCAAGGGAATGCGCCCACCAACTATCAAGTGCTCCGCTCCAAAGGAGTGCGTGCAAGTGGATGAGGAATTCTGAAGTTTCTTACTCACTACGAACATAAGACAGAGTTTCGCTAGGTAGCCCGGGAGTGGAAGAAAGACAGTAACTGCAGACTAAACTAAACAAACCTGGGTGTGGGTGTCTGTAACTCCGATTTCCAGGGTGTGCACAGATCAAAACAGTTCCCAGATCACCGAAGAAGCCAACATCAGGCAGCTAGAAGTATAAGCGTGCGCGAAGGAAAGAAGGTGGGGCTTCACAGTGGGTGTGACGGTACCACACTTCGCTGGCGCCTTACCTTACCCGTAGTACGGTGCGGTGTGACCCAACTACGCACTACTGCATGGCAGAGTAGATATACTGTAGATATTTTATATTACCAAACACTTCCAACCACCACGCTCTTCTTTCTGTATCTTTTGGTATCCAGTGAAAGGTTACATTCGGATCTTTTGCCTTGGTGTTGGCACAAACCACGCATGTGTGACCTTCACACGAGTATAACTCCTCGACCGTTCGTCGTTTCGGCTTCGGACAAAGACCGGCAGAGACGCTAGAGATTTCACTTGCATTCTCTAAATATGAATATGTGGTATTGCGCGCCTTGCGAGACTTTGAAAACGGGCTGTTGCGATTTCTCCGTTCACTGTAATACATTTTCCTGGCCACCTGGAGCAACCGGCAATGACGTCACGCGTGATTAATATTTTTATTTTTCATTAAAATTCTTTGCCTAATGCTGAACTGGGCTATTGTACCAATTTGATGAGTGATAATATGTTAGGTGAAGTTGGGATTATAGGAGTGAGATTAGCATTTATCACTGGTTTATTACCCAGTTGCTAAGTTTATTCTAATCCACTACAGCACCTAAGTAGGTACTGAGGTGACAATATCCCAGTGGTTAGGGTGTATGTCTGAGGAATGGTGTGAATATCTACTACTATATATCATAGCCAAAAATGTACAGATCCATAGCAAAATAATGGCAAAATGCAGAAACCAGTTAATTTTAGGTTGAATACATAGCTCAAAATGCATGAGAAATCAAGGGATATAGCTTGTCTAGTAAGTTAGGACACTCGATGTTTCTGGAACGCATGTATCTAAGAATTGCAGTTAAAATCAGGATCGTTTTAGGAGGGTATTCGGTACCGTCTTACTTCAGCCAAAAAAAATGTCAGCCATGTACTGAGGGTCAGTGAGGGCCAGTAGATCCCACTGTACTAGATTCTCGGGTTACCCCGCAAAGCGTGCATTTCGCCTTTCGCGCCACGACAGGAAAGTAGAGAGCGCTCACTGAGCGGTATTTTTCGGTACAAACTTTTTGCTGAGAGCCTTGCAGAATCCACCAACTGAAACCGCTCAACAGGTTTACCCTATCCTTTTAGAGAGAGAGAAAGTGCTTTTTGGCCGACGGTCCGTCGCTTGTTTCAGTCGCATGTCTGCGTGCTGCTACTTGCAATTATGGGTCTGCTGAGACTTTCTGACGTTAGTTCATCTTCAAGCGGCAAAAACGAGTCGTTCCAGCCCTTTACTTCTAAACGAAAAGCCTCCGCCATAGCTACCCCCGACGGACGAGTGTTTCCTGTTTGACGCCAGGATCACGTGCATTGCCTTATTTGGAAGCGCGCATGCCACAACGACCAATCAACAGTATTAAACATTTTATCACACCGTTTGTCGTGGTGTTGCGGTTTATCCTCTGGTGTCGGGCGGATAAACCTGCAACACCACTCCATAAGGTGTAATAACATATACATATTTTATTTTGCACAGCAAATTGCAGCAATTTTTCACAGGTCCGATTGATAGTAATGAAACATACAGTCTGCTACGCTATATAATGAGCCACGCACGTGCAATAGACGACTAAATTTTGCTGCAAACAGTCACTTCAGTCTGTGGTTCTTGACCTGAAGTTAAAGAAAGAAGAAAGGTTAAGGGAGGATGGGACCAATGTTATCATCTCACTCATATAATCCCTACTTAACCTCGGGCCCTCGTCAAATTGATACTTATACTTTGTGAGATTCGCTGTGTGTTCCACTGTTAAACTTCAAAGCCTCCCAGCAGCGAACGTTAACTACAGTTGATAGACGTCAGACACTTACTTTCCATCCGAAACTCGGAGGTTGGAAGTGGTCGTGCAGTAATAGAACTGAAGGTGGTATCTCGGCTCCTGTCACCCACGTCGAGGATGTTACCCCATTACTTTTTATAATCTTGATCCAATGGGCAATGCATTGGGAGGTCACCAACTTAAACAGCTTGATAATGATAAAAATAGAGGCGGCACCTCTGAATGTTGATCTCTATGCTTGGCCGTAATCTCTTCATAGTATTTGAGGCACACAAAGCTGTTTATCAGAGAAGGCACCAAAGAAGCGTTCTTTTGGTGACGATCCCACCCTCTGTGTCTTGGCGATACCAGTGAGGCGGAAGAGGACTCCATTGGGGCGATACACTCGGAACCTCAGGTGCAATGCCTGCAACTCTGACGTTCGGCTTGCCAAAACCAGGGCCATCAGAAGAGCCAGTTTCTGAGCCAGCTGCTTCAAGGGTAGGCTGGCGTCCCCACTAACTGAGTCACCATGTCTACATCCCATGTGTAAGTGTGCGGAGGTTTGGGCAGCCCGAGAATGTAGACTCCCTTCACCCAGAGGATTTTGCCGATGGGAACTCCCTCCATCTTCTCATGTGTCATTGACACTGCCGAGCGGACAACATTGATAGTCCGATGTTGCAGTCCACTGTCAGAGAGCTCAGTAAAAAAATTCCAGGAAGAATGCATCCGTTTCTGCTGCATGTGGGTAGGGCCGCCAAGTAATGTATGGTAGTTAGGAAGTTGAAAGTTTAACCTCGATGCAAAGAGATCCACATTGCACAGGCCATAAAGGTTTCCTCACTGGCAGAAACACTGACCTGTCCTGTTTCCATTCAGCAGATAATGGAGTGTCCGAACTCTTGGTCTGCCGTCACATTGCGTGACCCTGGGAGGTACTCGGCTGGGAGTGGCACCCCCTTCTCAGGCACCACTCCCACAGTTGGCAGGCCGTGTGTGACAGTGTAGGAGACCCATATGGTTGATGTAGCACAACGTCATCTTGTTGTCCATCTGCAGGTGCACATGGGACACTGTCTCGTCCTTTGTACTGCCAGAGCTGCATCCAACAATTCCGGGTGGTTGATATGGCTCTGGCATTCCTCTTCTGACCAGAGACTCCCTGTACTCGCTCTGTCCGCTACTGCACCCCAGCCCAGGAGAGAGGCATCGTCTCTATGGTCAGGTCTGGAGAAGGGGGTTGTAATGGTGTGCCGTTCCACCGCAGGAGTTTGTGTTTCCACCATTTGCGGCCTTTGCGGCTTGGTTGAGAAGGACTTCGACCTCATAGTTGCCGGATATGGTGAGGAGAACAGATTCTTCAGCTGTTGGTGGTACCTGTAACATAAGGGTGCTGGGAGGAAGCAGCGACAGAAACTTGGTGGGGGCTCCGAGCCCTTCAACAGCCTGCAGCCGAGCATCCCGCTGATGACAGTGGGGGTGGGCCTGCCAACATTGCCCAAGAAGCTTGTGGCTAACGAGTATGTCGACTTTGCTGAACTCCCGCCAGCGAAGGGGAAAAGCAGACCACTCCCACATGGCCTGGATGGGCAAGTCATTGTGGTGCAGGCAGCTGACATGGTGCAATCCAGGAAGATAATCCCAGACGTGGCAACATGGCTGCAGTGCTTCGCACTGTATGTGGCAGTCCTGGCAAAGGATAACCCCCAGAAGGTGCAGGAGCTTATCGCCTACCAAACGGCAATTGCCAAAGCAAGCCAGAAATACAAATGGCCATTGGGTCGTATATGATCAGAATTTTTGACAATCATGGGCAAAGGTAGACCCAAGCATCTACGCTCAATGCTTCACAGGTCAAGCAGTTAGCTCGTAGAGCTGGTGCTCCAGGTGCCAGTGCCTGGACCACACAACCAATAACTGCCCTTACCGTCAGAGAAAGCGGTCATGGAACTCCGCGATGGACAGGAGCAGCCGATCTGTATTAAGTTTAACAAATTCAACGGCGACTGCAAGTTCGGAAAGGATTGCAAGTTCCTCCACGTGTGCAGCACCTGCCGTGAACCCCATCCAGTGTCAAGCTGCAAAGCTGGCAAACAAGGCAGTGGGCCATCTGGCAAGCAACCGTAGGAAGAGGCCAATGTGAACAATCGGAACAGACATGACAGCAAAGCCGACCTGTTTGTGGCATATAACCTTAACTGTTACGTGTCATAATTATCCCACCATAAGGGACACTATACGCGCGAGGTAGCCACTCCTTTTATTCCTTTCCCCTCCTTTCGTATTTCCCCTGGTCCCCTCCCCCCCTCTCTCCTCTCTCTATTGCTCTCTCAGAATCTCATAGGGGCCAGTACAAGTACATCAGCCAGTTGCTAGCGCTCGAAGCCTGTGCAGATGGAAGTGGAGAGTTGCCGGCTTACCTCTGCAAGATTGTGACCCCACTTAAGTTGGATGCCTGGCAGGAAGCATTGCAGGATCACCCAGACCAAGCCTTTGCTAACTATATCCTGGGGGGCATTAGAAATGGATTCAGGATCGGATTCGACAGGTCCAGGGTATGCCTAAAGTCCCGGGGCACAAATATGCTCTCAGCAACAGAGCAGTCGCAGGTGGTGGCGAAGTATCTAGGAGAGGAGTTGCAGGCAAGTCGCATTGTGGAGATCAGGCGTCAGGAGCAAGGGCTACCCAGAATTCAATTCAGCCCCTTCGGGGTGATTCCCAAAAACAACAGGCCGGGAAAGTGGAGGCTGATAATCGATTTATCCAGCCCCGATGGCCATAGTGTTAATGACGGGATCAGCAAAGAGCTCGCTTCACTTACCTATATATCAGTAGATGATGTAGTCAGGGGCCTACTGCAGCGTGGAAGAGGGGCCCTGCTGGCAAAGATGGACATAAAGCAAGCGTACCGTAACATACCAGTTCATCCGCAAGATAGGCTTCTACTCGGTATGCGTTAGGAAGAGTCCATTTTCGTGGATGCAGCCCTCCCGTTTGGGTTAAGATCTGCCCTTTTGATATTCTCGGCAGTTGGAGATGCACTGCAATGGGTGATGGAAAGCATGGGGGCAAAGTGGGTTGCCCACTACATTGACGATTTCGTGACCACGGGCACCTGATTCACCAGAGTGTAGCGATATGCGCAGATCATGCAGGCAGCATGTGAAAGAGTGGGCTTCCCGGTGGAGCCTGAGAAAAGTGAGGGCCCTGCAACCACCATATCATTTCTGGGGGTCGAGTTGGACTCACGGATGCTAGAGATCCGCCTCCCTAAAGAAAAGCTGGATCGCCTCAGGCAGAGTTGAAGGAATGGAGAGGACGAAAAGCTTGCAGGAAGAGGGAACTACTCTCTCTTATTGGGTCTCTGTCACATGCATGCAAGGCCGTGCGGGCAGGGAGGTCATTCCTATGCAGGCTAATAGACCTCTCGACAGTAGTGGAAAAGCTTGATCACTACGTTCGTCTGAGCAGAGAGGCTAGGGCAGATATCGAGTAGTGGGTCCAGTATGCCGAAGCCTGGAATGGGACCTCCATGATGCAATCGGTGCAAGAGGCTCCCCCGGCAGCCATGGTTACATCAGATGTCTCGGGAAACTGGGGTTGTGGAGCGTACTGTGGCACAAACTGGTTCATGCTGGAGTGGTTGGGCCTCTTCTCTGGTTGTCACATCACAGTAGAAGAGCTAGTGCCTATTGTAGTCGCCGCAATGGTCTGGGGACCCAGTTGGCGGGGGAAGACAATTCTTGCCAGGTGCGATAATATAGCAGTGGTGGCAATTGTCAATCATGGGTCATCGAAAAACGCGGAGGTTATGCAACTGATGAGATGCTTATCGTTCATCGCAGCTACATTTGACTTTCGCCTAGTATATAGCAACTCACATCAGGGGGAGGGATAATATCTTAGCTGATGCGTTATCACGGGAGAACTGGTCTCTCTTCAATTCACTCAGGCGAGCAAGGAAGCAACTCCTATCCCTCCCGCCCTCCTCGACCTGCTAGTTGTAACAATGCCCGACTAGACCTGCAGGCGCTGGACAGGACAGCGGAGTTCTATTTTCAGAATGGTCTAGCTGTATCAACCAGAAAGGCCTACAACTCTGCGAAGAAGCGTTATCACGAATTCTGCGCAAGCAAAGGTCTTGTCCCACTCCCATCATCGGAACAACAGCTGTGTCTATTCGTATCATTTTTAGCAAGTCAAAAGCTATGCCACAGTACTACCTCGCGGCGGTGCGTCACCTCCATATAGCGGAGCGCTTCGGAGACCCTCTCATATGTGACATGGCTAGGCTCGAGCAAGTGCTCAACAATGCAGCCCAAGGAGCCGCTAAGTAGAACAGCAAGGCTCCCTGTTACACCTTAACTGTTAGCCAAGTTGAGAGGGATATTGGTCTCACAGCCCGATGGCAGTATGTTATGGGCAGCAGCATTGTTGTGCTTCTTTGGGTTTCTGCGCTCTGGGGAGATAACAGTCCCATCAGACTCGACTTTTGATGAGGGAGCACACCTCTCCTTCAAGGATGTAGCTGTGGACAGTTTCCAAGAGCCCCGACTGTTAAAGGTGCGGATAAAGGCATCCAAGACAGACCCCTTTAGGCTGGGGGTGGACATATATGTTGGAAGAACAGATAACAGTTTATGCCCAGTCACAGCAGTCTTAGCCTACAGTACACGGCAAAAAAAAATTTTCCACTATCGTACCCTAGTACGGTCACACTATACTAGAACTACGGTCTTGCTACGCTGCTGCTACGCCGTAGCAACGCCGTACTACGGTGGAAGCCGTAGACTACTAACACCCAGATACAGTCGTCTACCAAGCAGCGTTGTCCCATGCAGCGTTAGCTAGCTGTACAGCCAGGAGATCCACACGGCGTTCACACAACGACAGTGCTGACGGCGAGGCACGTGGTTTAGTGGGCGCGGTCGCACGCGCGCATATCGCGTCAGTGCGCTCAGCGGGCGCAACGGAGAGCGAGAAAGCGATAGTAGCCTTGCTAGACACGACTGCGCTACAACGCTAGTGTTGTTAGCTTACTCTCAGCTTTAGAAACAACGCTCGTTGCTTGCTAGGCCTTTAGCTGCCACCGTTTACTTTACTACGGTGGGCCACACCCTCGCAGCGTACCGTGCTCTACGGTCGACCGTAGATCCGCCGTAGAAGCACCGTAGAACATTTTGCTACGGTATCACCGTCTACGGCGCCGTAGTGGGAAATATTTTTTGCCGTGTACTGTACATGGTGGCAAGGGGCTCAGGCCCAGGCCCCTTCTTTCGGTTTAGTGATGGAAAGCCTCTTACCCGAGCGAGGTTCGTGGCAAGGATGAAAGAAGCTCTAATCTCAGCCGGGGTGGACTGCTCCCCTTACTCGGGGCATAGCTTCAGGAGTGGGGCCGCCACTACAGCTGCGAAACAAGGAATCGGTGACGCCACAGTTAAAATGCTTGGCAGATGGAAGAGCAGCGCGTATCAGCTGTATATCAAGACCCCAAGAGAGCAACTCGCAGCCTACTCAAGACGCCTAGGACGCCAGCTATAACCAAGGACAACTGTGTTTGCGTGACTTTCGTAGTGCATCTTCATTTTCAGTTTAACCACGAACGGTGTGGCCAATGGCGTGGAGGTAGCAGGTGGAAGGAGTTTAAAAGTCAGGAAGAGTGTAAGCTTTGGGAGGATTGGATGGAATTCCCCTTGTGGGGTAATTATAATGCTAATCTAGCTAGGAGGTAGCTAATTAGCCCCTCGGCTTACACTATATATGCAAGAGGCTAACTCCACCCATCGGCCACACGCGCTATATGTGTTGATTAAGAGCGTCTTTGGCAAAGTGGTCTTGTTTTGGTGTCACTAGGTTAAATGGTTTAATCTCATAACGAGGAACATAAGCACCAGGGGCCGGGGCGCCGTGCAGGTCAGTCAGGCGCACGCGCAGAGGTAAGTAGGAGGACTGGAGAGCCTCAGTAATCTGCACCGTCATGCGGGCCACGTGTAGTTTCCTGAAGCAGCCGGCCGTATCGGCCTGAGTCACTTTGCTTTCCCACCCTACCTCCCTTACCTATAGGCAGTGTAAGGCTCAGAGGCAAGGCTCCACTGTGGGGACGTACCACAGTGTGATAGGTGTGGAGTTAGTTGGATGGAATTCCCCTTGTGGTGTAATTATAATGCTAATCTAGCTAGGAGGTAGCTAATTATCCCCTCAGCTTACACTATATATGCAGAGGCTAACTCCAACCATCGGCCAAAAACGCGCTTATGATATAGTGTTATTATGGCAAAGTGTTCTTTGTTTGGGTGCGCCACCCTACCTCAGGCGCACCACCACCCACAGTACGTCTACGGACCCAAAACCCTCGACTCCCCTTCGCGTCCAACATCTGTCGACCCTAGGTACTGATCTCTCTCCTCCTCTCTCCCAAGACCCCCCCCACAGACGGCCCCCCACCATAGAGCCGTGTACTCCCCCAACCTCTGCACAAAAAACCCAACAGCCATCCACCCTCCACCCGAGGGACCCCCCCAAAGCACCGGAAAAATCTCCAATAGACACAACCACAGAAGGGCCTATCTACCAGACCAACGCCACCTCCCTCAAACTGCTCACCATCCATAAAACCTCATCAGTTAACCTTTAGGTTAGGAACTACCACTGGTCTTAGCAGTTTGGTGAGCACTCGTGAGGCACTGCTCAGACCGAATGTCAGGCGCTGGTATTCGTAAAGTATACCCCTCCATTTGAACCTCAGAAACAGTCTGTCATCCTTGGCCACTGGGACGGACAGGTACGTGTCTTTCAGGTCGATAGTGACCATCCAGTTGCCCTCCTGGAGGATATCCCTGATCAATTTGGCACCTTCCATCTTGAACTTCTGCCTCCATACGTATGTACCGGTTCAGTGGCTTCAGGTTTTCACTGGGCATCGTGACCCCATCTTCTTTGGGTCAAGAAATAGGTTGCTTAGGAACCATTCTCGGGGTGTCCCCCGTTGTTGTGGCGTGTATGCCAGCTCCAGACAGTAGCCCATGACCACTTCCAGGATCCAAGGATCGTCCGAGGTACTGGTCCAGTTCCAAATAAAGCGACGGATCCGGCCAGCTGGAGGGAGTGTTTTTTGATGAGCAATAGGCAAAAGTGTGATTCCCAGCGACGTGGAGCAGACTGAGATCGCTTCTGGAATCACTTTACTGACTGCCGGTGTCGTTCTTGGAAGGGTTCTGTCTGAAGTACTTGTTGTTCTTGAATTTGGTGTAAGAGCCCTTCTCGTTGAGGCCAGTGATTTTAGTTTAGGGTTGATGTGGAACCAAGCGGTTTTCCTGCGCTCCACAATGGAGTGGGACATGCTGCCCACCAGGTGCCCATGCTTGTGTAGCACCAGAAGTGTGTCTTCTGGTGTTACACCGACATCCTTGTTAAGGAGATCAGCCAAGAGGCACGTCAAGAGCCCTGCCATATCCAGGTTGAATAGCGACTTCTATGCCCCGTAATTGGGGTGTCTGCCCTTTTTTTGAGCTACTCCTTCACCTGGTAATCCAACCTTGGGGCTACAATGGCCTTACAGTGCAGTTTCGGGTAATCTTTCAGAATAGCCTCTCTTTCACCTTCCTCAGGGTTCGGTTGAAGTGCTTTTCCAGAAAATTGACCATAGCTGGTGGAGGATTCCATGTATCGTAGGGCTGTACACTCGGATCGAACTCAACTAGCTCTAGTGCCTCAGCTTCATCAAGCAGATGGATTGAATCCTCATCATCCTGAGCATCCTGGGGTATCTTATAGTTGAGAGAGGAAGATGTACCGGGAGTCACGTCTGACTCCAGAGGGTTTAGCGGCTGCATAGCCTCCCGTGGGGAGACATCGCGCGATTGCGCAGGGCCGTCTGCGAATTGGTAAATCCCCAATTTGGAAATGGCGGGAACTGGGATAGGAAAATGGCAACCAAACTAGTGTGGGTGGGTAACCGCCCCAACCACCAATAGACTTCCAGCTAGAGAGTGGCTCTAGTGGGCCCAACGGCTGGGTTGATGTACCTGGATTCTCGTCCAATCCCACCTTCCTAGGAGAGCCCCTTTTTGTCGTGTCCTTTAGGATAGCGTCCAATGCGTCTTCCGCGTTCTCTGCGGGCTGACTGCCGGCTTCCCCGCCATCGTTGTGAGGGCTGCCCTGGAGAAAGGGATCGTCGTTGCTGTCTCAGTCATTTGCAGAGCTGTGACTGCTGTTGCTAGCTGTGAGCACTAAAATGAAAAGTCGTCTATTGCGCAGTAGTTATTTATCAGTCGGAGCTGTAAAAAATTGGCTGTGCGAAATAAATATTATTCCACTGGAACATGCAGCGAATCTCATAAAGTATAATTGTGAAGCAATTTTCTTCTGTACTTGCAGTAGGTTACCTACTGGTACCATCTTATGTCGAACCCCAGTGGAAAATGTGTGGAAGATATGTAGTTAGCAAAGTGAACTAGTTGTCTCATAATTACCCTCGGCGCGCATGCGCTGCGAGGGTACGGTAGCTGTTACTCTACATCTCACTTCTGGAGTGTTTGTTCGTCTCACGAAGGATATGACCTACTTAACGGGCAATGAAGGTCAGAAAGTTCGAACGGTTTTCTCTGAAACTGCTCCGTTGCGAAGCTAGAGCGTGAAAAAGCCAATATGCAAATACGCTTACCACAGTCTGATCGATCCGTGTGCTCTGCGTACCTCGGAGGCACCAGAAGATGCAACACTGGGCATGTATCACCTCTCGCATGCTATTTAGTAGTGTAGTTAGCCTGCGTCAGACTCTGTGCGAGCTGGCAAGAGACCACGAGTAACAGCTAAAACTAAACCCAGCCATCAATTAGTGGTACGGCGCATGCGTTTACTTACGCGTGCGCGTCACAATGCACCGAGAGTTTGCACTTCAGTGCTTTTCATATAATTGGGGAATCAGAATTGCGTTGTTAGAACACTTACTATAAATTGTCTTCCTTCACTAAAGCCACTGTGTCTGTTCTCCAGTGCTGAAGATGCTCTTGACAGGTTTGCAATGAAGAGATTCTATGACAGTAAATGTGTAGGGGTGACTCAGCCATCACAGAGGAAGTATGTGTACTACTTCGCTGACCTCCTGGCTGGCAAGATGAGTCTCAAGACTCCGTGAGTTGGCTAAGCATTGTTCAAACAACTGCATCCCAACGATGTGCAATTTGCATACAGTAATGACTAAATGAGTTACCTCTACTGGTAAAGGCCGGAAGTACCACACGCTACCTTTCAAGGCACTGTTACAGTACTGTTGCTCTACTTTGAAATGTACTCCAGATGGCTGTACGAACCTCAAACTTGTTCTGATGCCGCCTTAAATGCACAAAAAAATGCCAGCCTAGTGCAGCATCTCTCAATTTCCACAGCCACATCTTCATGTGTCTCATGGCTTTATTTTCATACTGTGTTCAGTTGGCCACTATTGTGCATGATACGCCTTTTATCTGAAATCATCGCACATGCTGTTCCAAATCCCTTCCCATCAGGCCAGTTTTATTGAACCATGTGATAATTCATGGGGTTCCCAACTTTGATGGCAAAGGAGGCTGCAGAGTGTTTCTAAAGTTCTACGTTAACATGAAACTGGAGCACACCACTGGACTTTAGTAAGTTCACAGACATCTTCTCAGTTGCAAGTACGGAGCGTAAACGAAGTCTTTTACGTCCATAAACAATGCATACAGATTTCCCGAACATTATGAGTTCATAATGCCTAATACAGTACATGTGGCTCTGAACTGATGAGATTTATCCTCACAAGATTTTGCCAATAACCCCTTCATTCTGGACATCTTTTGTAGAAAGCAAACCACAGAAATGTGTACTAGTCACCCTGGTTCTCTGCTACAGTACACGCCAAAGTTCCCACTACCGTACGGTCACACCATAGCAAGAGCTACAGTCTTACTACCCTGCTGCTACGCCGTAGCAACGCCACACTGCGGTGGAAACCGTAGACCTGCTACGGCACCATACACCGTGATTTAGGCCCAGCTACTAAGCAGCGTGGCCCCATACAACCAGAGAGCTCCACACGGCATTCACACGGCGAGGCGATGGATAGTTTGCTCTTGCCATGTTGCTGCGAGGTTTGGTGGGTGCAGCCGCGTGCATGTCGTGTCAGCGCGTCAGGCGTGCATGAGGAGAGTGAGAAGCGACACGTTGCGTGATAAGATTGCGTGATAAGATTGCTAGGCCTTTACTACAGTCGGCAACGCCCTCACGGCGTACCGCGGCTACGGTTTTCTACTGTCGATCGTAGATTTGCCGAAGAAGCACCATAGAAAATTTGCTACGGTTTCACCGTATTACAGCGGTATAGTGGGAATGTTTTTAGTGTGTACTGTATGTACCTCCTCACAGTGCGAGTAACGAGGAAGATGAGAGGATCAAGATTACCTTACACGGTGGAGGCTTAAATTTGCAAGTCAGTCATTTACAATTTGACTAGCAACTGTAGTTACTTCCTTTAAAAATTGAATGCAAGTATAGGGGGAAGTGTTACTAAAGTGCTTCCACAAGAAGTCTCACTCTGGCATGGACTCTGTGTTTCGTTGTCAGTTTCACACTGCTATTGTCAGAGATACCCTCAGGTGAGCTAAACACCTCCTTCCTCTTGAGAGGGTTCCTTACCACATTTTTTGGATTTTCAACTTCATAAATATGACAAGGAGGAAGAAAAACATTTTGCAATTATTTTGTCTTTTCAAATGCCTCATTACTTCGAGTCCCATACATTTCTGTTGGAGTGGGAAAATGCACTTCAAAAAGAGTCGCGCACGCATTAATGTACGTGCGCAATTACACTTTCTACAGTGTTTGTTTGGATGAAAGAATTTCTACATGTCCTGTTCCAAGTTAGCTGACATGCCTGAACCTGGAACAGGACATACAGGAATTTTAGGCCTCCCAACAAGACCGGCGTCAATTTTACCTGTCAGTTAAGGTATTTTTCTTTTTGCCTTTTAAGTCCATTAGAATACCACTGCTTTTGAGAAATGTTAATAAGCAATGGCTTACGTGCATGTACCTGTTTTACCTAGAACGCCACGAACACATTAAGTCTCTCAGAGGGCGAGTATCCCTCCCATCTAGTGTTGCCCTAAGGGCTATGGAATGATCCAGCTGCATAGCTGGCCTGTGTTAAACCATGAAAATTTATGATGTAGACGGCCTGACCCATCAATTACAGATGTGGTTTCTTCATATTCATAGTGTAGTTCGGCTCGTTTTCTTAAACCCACTTTCCTTTATTATTTTCTGTCACGAAATTTGCATTTTTTATTATTCTTAGCTCGTAACCAAATTATTGTTTACTATGCATTGAATAACCAGCAACATATTTCCTGACTCAAAACTTAGTCAGAGGAATTTTGTAACTTTGTAAATGCGTTGTAAATCAGTGTACTGTATATTGTGACCAAACTCTGTTTGGTATGTAGGGCACATTTATACTGAATTGTCAGATTTTTACTGAGACTGTCCTCGACTCAATAGGTTGGTGCTGAAAAAGGAGGACTTGGATGATGCTTTCAAGGACAAAAAGTTTCCAGAGAATTCTAAAGTTGAATTGCTCTTTGAGAGAGATACAGACAGACTTCATGGTGTGCTCCTCACCGGTTTTTTTGTAGGGGCGGGGTTGGGCAAAAAAACATGTATGTACACCTACCCCCCAAGAATCATTGCAATTAATTTTTACAAACACATATACGTCCTTTTGGGGCATTGGCAAGTGTTCTGGCCACTTGCAATTTCCTATGACAACTTGATGAATGCATAGTCATTGTCTTAATTGGGGGTGGGGGTGAGGGGCCAACCAGAGTGGGATCCCTGTACACCCCCTCCTCTGAATGCAACACTACTTCCTGCGTCTGCTCTCATTCTTCTCATTTCCACTGTGGATTGCAGGCTCACAGGAAGACGTGGATGTGCGTTGTTCTCTCCTTGAGACAAATGGAGCTGGAGCTCCTGCTGAAGTACTCAAAAATGAATCTTTATCAAAACGGGACTCGTATGCCAATTTTGAGGTACACTTGTACAATGTGATGTAGAAGTAAATTGCCCATTACACATTCCCTTTATTGTCTCCTTCACTCTGAAGCTTTACAGTACTGGTGGTTCGTTATGCAGAAGAACGGGCCACTGTTTGTAGTATGGCGTTTTCTTCACCTGTTTTTGTCTGTCCTGCTTATTACCTTGCTTAAACACATAATGGTGAATGTCTCATACTTTACCTATAGGCAATGTTTGGGGAGTGTCAGCATGCTCACATCTGTTCGTATGACATTGCTCACAGGAGGTTGGGGAGGCTGGAGGGAGAGTTGGGGTTCACCTATTATTGAGTACCTTATGTAAAGAGTAAAGTTAAAGGTCAAATGATGATGTCTGAGGATTCTTGTGTCTTCTCTCCAGGGAGGGTTTGACAGTGGAGCACCGGAAAAGGTCCCAGACCTAATCCGGTTCAGCCCTACATCTCCCAACAATCACAGAATGGGGTCTCCACCCGTGGCCAGGGATGGGGCTTCCAGAGGACAGAGAAGTCGCACTGAGAGCACAGAGAGTTTCAACATGGACCCACAGGTGGTTATTACACCTACATATCACCATATTTGCAGCACACTGTATGTTGCCCTACAGTTGCATACACGACATCCCATTAGCTAGAAGTCAATGTAAAAAAGCAATTGCTACACCGGTCATGATATGTTTGAGAATCTGAAGTAGTTACCTTGCGTCGTCCATAATTTGCAGGCAATTGAGCGAGTGGCCACGGCAGGTAATAGTGAAGTATACACTGTTGTGAACAAGTCAGCCCCGGGCATTCGAGGAAAGCCACATGTGGTTCCCCCAGAACCTCTGTCTTCAACTCCTCGATCAGGGCAGAATGGGAAGCCAGCATCTCTGGCAGATCCTCCTTATGTCAACCAGACTTCTATTCCCAGTAAACCACCAAAAGAGAAGCCAATCACTTATCGACGATCATTAAAGGTATACATAGGGATTTATCTCATTAGTTCAGAACCTGCGCTCCTGGTAGCCTTTATAAACTCGTGATGCCGGGAGAGAGAAGTTGCGGTATGCTCCGCTGATGAGGGCCAACAAGCCCGAAACAGCTGTCCAGAGCTCCTTGTCTTTTTTCTCTTGGCATCACATGGTATTTGGGGGTGTGTATGTAATAGTAGCAATTAATGCAGAAACATGTGCAAACATTCAGAATGATAATTGTTAACATTTCACTCTGGTTTCACGGGCTGTTCAGCCTAGCAACAGTGTTGTTTAATTGTGTATATTGAACCATTTTCTGACTAGTGCTGTATTTTCTACTTTTTCATCTCCTGTGCAGAATCCTGGACACCCTCAAAAGTCTCCAAAGCCACCACCACCTCAGCAGGTGGCCCCAAGACCCCAACTCTCCCTTCAGCCTCCCCCACCTCCTATAGATGTGGACTATGATGAGGTCCCAGAGGAAGAGGAGGAAACCCAGCAATCTTCACAGGTTAATGACTAGTTTGCCTGTTACATATGTCAGAGGCCATTCCGTTCTTGCGGTGTTAACAAAGGGCCTGCATCGACTCCCGCATGCTATCTACTGCTGTAGCGCAGCCCGTGTCAGACTCTCCACTTGTTCTGTGTCTTGAAGGTACCAGAAGTCGTAATGAAGGGCGTGTATCGACTCCCGCATTTTATTTAATAGTATAGCTGGCCCGTTCCTGACTCTCAGCAACCTGGTAACCGACCACGAGTCAGTACTATGGTAAAATGACCCAGCCCATCAATTGGCACAAAGCACATGTGCGGGTATCTATCGCCTCGATGTTTGGAAACCTGTTCACGCATGCGCAAGATATTCCGTAGAACACTTTTGACATAATATGTAGGCTAAAATTCTGCGTAGAATGTTTACCAAGCCTATTGTTGAGCTAAAAACATGGCAAATGCTCAGCGAAAGATGTGCCTCACTTGGTAGCATTCTTACCTTGTCTGCAGCCGTTCACAGTAGGTCGGTCTTCCTCAACTTTGCTTACATGGAACCCTTCTCTAGCGAGCACATGCGTCTCAGCCGAGGGTTGCAGTAGTTGGTGTGTGTGTCTGTCTCTCTGTCTGTCTGTTTGTGTCTGTCGATGCTTATTCTGGCACTACAGGCTATGAGGCGTCCTACGCATGATACGAATGGCTTCATAACTACACTAACCTGAAATATATAACAGTGACTTTTACTGTGTTCGAGAGATGTGCCGTGAAAAGAAGCGAAAAAGCCAATATGCATAATCCCGCTGGCTTACCTCCGCTCGTTCTGTGTATATACCTTGGAGGCACAAGAAATAACGAAGGCCGAGTGTCAACTTCCACATGCTATCTACTAGCCGGTGTCAGACTCTCTGTGGGCTACTAGTGGGGGACCACGAGTAAACGAGCATTTGTGTAAATGTGCTCTCGCTTACCTCAGCCGAATCGTGTTTTTTTTTGTGTACTGTGGAGGCATAAGAATTTACAAGTGAGGTTGAGTATAAAGTCCCACGATATGTACCTACAATGCAATCTACTGGTGTAGCTAGCCCGTGACAGACTCTCAGCAGGAAACCCCCGAGTAAATCTACGGCGTAGCCCAGCCCATTAAAAATAGTAGTAGACTCACAAAACTAACACGTGCTATTGTGCTGAGAGTTTATAAATCACGTGCATATCAGGGCACATACATATGTAGTAGGAACAGGACGAAGAGGATCCGGTAAACACACAATACACAATAATGATCGTGTTCTCTTTATGCCAAGGAGACCATTATGATAGTATGGGTGTCACTGTAGGTGAAACCGGAGAGTAAGAGGAATGTAAACGACCCTCCACCTGTTGGTAAAAAAGCCAATGCTGCCGACGGCCCTGCTGGCAGCAAGCAGAAACATGCATATGATGAGGTAACACAAGTTTTCGGCAAAGATATAATGAATACTGCATGCATTGTTTACAGATACTAGTTGACCAGCTGATGAAACTGCAACCAGTTACTCCTCGTCACAGTGGCCATGACAGTGACACTGGATGGTGCAGGTTCAAATTTCAGACATTGCCATCAAAGTAAGAGCTATAATGTATATGAATGTATCGTATCATACAAATATGACTCCACATTAGCTACTGTACCTAGGTTTTCCTAGTAGCTAATTACCCATAAGCATCCACTGCTAGTGGATTTCCCCACTAGTATATAGTGCGATTGTGGCTGTGGCAGTGTTACTTTCAAGAACAGATAATCAGCACTAATAGTACCATTTTTGTTGTTCAAAATGTCAAATCATGACGACGAAATACATGTGTACTGGCTTACCTTTACTGATAGCCCTGTAATCCCTCCCATGGCACTTTTTTGTTGTAACAACAAGATATTATTTTTGTCTCTAGCCTCCAAAACAAGCCTTCTCCCTCCTCCGCGTTCACTGCATGCTCCGAATGTTATACCTACACGGATAAAAACAGAGAGAAAAGGGCTAGGCAATTTTATCACGCAATACGTGCCGCTAGGGCTTTTCAGTTGTTGTGCATGTATAGTGCAATTGATTACAGCTTACATACCTGACTGTGGTGCAATCTTGTATGTTGTGCAAAGTGGATAATCATAAGAATTGGGGTGTAATAGCTTGTATGTTGTGCAAACTGAACTCAGTAGATCATAAGAACTGTGGTGCAATGTTGTGCAATATTGATGACTCTGAAGTTGGTGTAATAGCCCTTAGGCAATTTTCTCTAGCGCCACTCTGACATATAGTTTACCCACCTTGTTTGTGCCACATGGAGCTATTAAAGTCACTCTGCGTCAAATTGGCCTTCAATCTTTTCTACACATGAACACCACGGGGAACTGGCGTAGCCATGCTTACTACGCATGGGCAGTGTTCTCCCCAGGCCGTTTTGGCTTAGCGCTCCGCTATGCGTTATCCACGGAAGGGATATGGTGTTTGTGCGGCTTTTTTTGGTGCAAATTACACAATGATAGTGGACAAAAAAAAGGACAAAAAAACAAACCAAAAAAAGGACACAAAAAGGAAAGGGGCAGGTGGTTGGTATCGATGGATGCAGGCGGTGATATTCCCTCTCCATAGGGAGATGGCCAACCTCTGAAAAAGCTGACGGGACGATTCAAGGGGGGGGACCCCAAAACGTTGGCCTATGAGACGGCCTATGCTGGACAAGGTCTCAGCAGTGGTGTCACTTAAACCGCCGAGGGATTCGATAGCGAGAGGGATGAAGCAAATGCCGGCTGCTTGGCATGATGCACCATGGGTGGCAAATTTCCGTGCCTCCGCCACATGCAGAGCGTGGCCTTGAATCTCGGCAGCTGACTGGATAGTTGACTGTTGCATTGTAGATATGACTGTGATGTCGAGTGCAGCAGGGCGGCCCCTTTTCCAGCATGGTAGATAAACGTCCGCAGGACGATTCTGGGTGCCCGGGATGAGGGAAGGAACTTCCTTGCGAGGCGCGAGGGCGGCTGACTGTGCCGCTGAGAAAATGCATCCCGCAGGGAGTTATGCTGAAAAATTCGTCGGCGTTTCCCCCACATCCCACGTGGTGATCACCAAACTGGTGTGCAACTAAGAGGCAGACAGGGCACCTCCTGTCCTCCTCAAATATCTGTAAGCCCAGCCAGTATTTAAGGCATAGGCGAAATTCACGGTCCTGAAGGTGGAGGCCTAAGGCGGAGGCCTAAGGCGGACGATGGAACTACATTAAGCCAATCACCGGCATGGCGAATTGAGGTTGAAAGGGCGAGCGCTTTACGGTGGGGATGAGTGGCAGAAGCCAATAGAGCATCCAGGGAGGCTGCATCGATGGCTCGCGAGAGGGAATGTTGAAGGAGGGGGACGTCGATGTCTTGAATGGATTCCCAATCTGGACGTCCAGCCGCTCTGGAAAGGGATTGGAGGGAGTCGGCAAGGTGGCTAGGGGGCGGGGCAAACTTCCCTCCGATTTTTGCCACCAAATGCTGGCATTGGTGAAGAGAGCCGATGTAGGCAGCAGGAGCGTGGAGAGAGGCAAGCCGAAGGTTCAGCCCTCTCCGGGAAGATGGTAGGGAAGCCTTCAGCCACGACCAGTCGGGAATTGGACCCCCAGCGACGTCTGATAGAGCGCCTCTCATTAGATTGTCGAAGGAGCCTAGGGCTTTGGGGGATAAGACTTGGAGGGCAGGTGCGGAGACATGTGCGAGTTTAGGTAGGGCCAGACAGGATCTGAGGAGGGTACACTCC